CCTCCCCCCCGCCCTCTCCACACCCAAAGCACGGTGGGGTATGTGTTTGCTTGCACACCCAAGGATTAAATCCCAAAAGTTCATAAGGTATCTTATGGAATATGGCCTGAACTGAATTGTCTAGTGTCGAGTTAGCCAAGACTGCTGACTAAAGACTAGGCTATTTGCTGAATGCAAATCCCGGAGGGGGTTTCTATCCACCCTCCCCCTATTTTTATACGATGGTGGCAAGTGTCTGTGTACGTCGGAGGGTTAAGTCCTCTTATTTAGCGGTTGCCGGTGTTGGACCATTTAATACTTTATTATCGTTTGGGTATACCTTTCCCAAATTCAAAGCGTTGATAACAGTAGTCAATTTCGAAGCTGTTTTTGATTAGATTGCAGATGTGAACGAAAGTAACTTCATGAATGCGTCAGAGGAAATGGCTACTTCAGCGGAGGCACGCGACTTCACCAATTCCAAAGCTTTTTTCGATTTGTTCAAAGATCTGTTCCACGCTGTAACAACCATACTAACGCCACTCACTCACCAAAATGCTGACATAGCTCTTCAGTACTGTAAGGTATGAGCTATACATACAAATGACTTACTTGTAATGAACTGAAAAACCCCAAGTGGGTCGAGGGTTCAAACGAAACAATGTTCTGATTTTGTTGTCCCATTAACTGAGGGGCGATAACTTCTTCAGTTTCCATTCCTCGTAATAACCATCTTTCCTCCATTCCACGAAACCACCATTTCCTCATTTCTCTTTTTTTTTTTTTTTTTTTTTCATTCGTTTATTCCCCCATTTACTCCTCCCACCATTCCATTCTTCTGCTGCAACTCCTTCCCTTCTCTACTCTTTAACAGGCCTTAAATATTTTCCTCTCTTCCTGGCTTTCCTTCTCGTAATTTCCTTCTTTAGTTATGATTGTTCCCCAGAGAGGTACCTACAACGATTGATGGGTAGCAAACAATATTTCTGTGGTTCCAAAAATTTAGAAAACGTTTCTAGCTCTGAATAACGAAGTTGGTTAAAGCAAGCCGCGTTACTGCAGTCCCGAAAGCAATTCCTTTCCCTTGTATTACGTGTAACTACCTCATTATCGTTAAACACAAAGAGAAATAGTACTTTCTAATTCTGATTGCCATAATATTGAAGTCACCAGATTTTATACATAATGGTAAGAACGATCCCTAAACATTTGAAGACTGTTCGTAGAATGAAAACTTGCTGATGTTATACTTATCACGGACTGCCATAAGCACAGTAAAAACTCAGTCCTTCATGTATTCTCGTTAAAAAGGTCTACATGGGGGACTAGGATCTCAGTTCTCAGTGAAAATGTCTCAGCTATCAGTTAAAATTTCAGGCCATTTCTCTGCTATCGGTAAATGCCGCATAGTTTATATCTCACGGTTAGCAGTCGAAATAGAAGTCATTTCTCAGCTGATGGTCAAGTAACATTTATACCCTCCTTAAAAAGATCAAACCACTTCCACGCGTGTTTCTAGTGAACTAACATTTGTGTGCTTGTTTTACTCTTAGCACTTCATCGAAACTGTACTTTTCTCTTCTATTTTTGGTCGGACGCAGCCATTTTGCGAGCCTAAGTTGGTAAGCTACTCGATCTACAGTGGATTGCACGGATATTTAAAGTTTTCAAATTACCTCGGTTGTTTAAGAGTGACAAACAAGCGCATTTTTGTCGCGTGTGTCTGTCAGTTCATCATGAAACTACCTAACAAAGGTATTTACCTCTACATTTATACATCACTTTGCACACCACTCTTGGTGTGTCTAAAGATTACTCACGAATAAAATTTTCCCTTCTAAAGGCAGGTGACCGAAACTCTCTGGCGGATAAAGCATTGGAATTCCTACGTCAGGCTCCTAAAAACACTACAGCCTACAATACTGGTGCCAATCTAAGATATCAACGTGTCCGGGATCTGACGTGAGTTATGATGCGTGTGCTATTTAGTACCAGTTTATGTGTAAAAGCAACCTTGCATACGGTGGCTGCGCCCGCAATACGTACGGCAATCAAAACAGAGTCATCCTACTGCGAAACGACACGATAATAGTCCCTTCTATCGCTGCAAATAAAAAATAAATGTAATGCTCGAGTTGCTTTGGCCTTTTCTAATACTCAACTCGAGAATTCTGGGCTTAATTTCACGAAAACAACATATTTTGTTCAAAATAATACAACTATTATCCTACCTGACGACAGCGATCGAAGTGCGAATGGTAGAACGCGGGCGACCTATTTTTGGCGCCAAATTTAAAGCTTGTATACACAAAATGTTTCATATTTTTCACTTTTTACAATCTGATATGGTTTTTGCAATCATAAATCCCTTTTCGTAAATATTAAATGCCGTCTCCAGAGAGAAAAATTGCCCGGCTTCAACGTCTTTCCAGTTAACATGCAGTTCATCGTTAGGGCAGTAAGTTTTTCTTGCTTGCAGACTCCTAATTGCTCAATTCAAATTTCAGGCGCACATGCCGTATGCAAGGAAGTACTGAAGGTTTCAATAACCACTGCGATCACATCCCAGATAGCTGGACGGTCAGTTATTCTGGGCAGTTAAGATCATAGAGGAGATGAAGAATAAAGACTGCTTGTTAATGCTAGCTCATTAGTTTTAAATACTGTTTTCCTCCCGCATTAGGCGCCAGTTCCTCTCTCGTAACTCTGATCACTTGGTGAGTTAGCCGCACTACTCAGTCCTCATCGAAGTGGTACTTCCTTGCCAAAATGCTTTTTCGGCTCCGTTTATATTGAGATTTGTTACAAAGTTTTCAGTCATATCACTGAAGTGTTCAAGTCTCAGGGCCGCCGTTAAAGTTGTGAGCTTGCGCAACTAAAGCCGCAGCCGTTTGTTTCTGGCCAAATGTCATTTTCTTTTTATAAACAAAACTTGAAGGTCACAATAACAGCAGCAATTTACACTGATAATTTCTTTAAATTTCACAGAACAGAGCCCAACGTAGTAGATAACTTCAAACCAGTTGCCCCAACATTCACCATAGCAAGGGAAAAACTGATTGTTAAGTTAAATACGGCTCCACGTATACCACCAGAGGTGATTAAACCTACCTCAAAAGTTACCAACAAAAGCAACAATGTGACTATAAGAAACGAGACAAGCCCAAGCAAGAATATAACTAAAAATGAAAACTTGGTAAGTCAAGTGCATGTCATGCATGTCTAAGGCAGCATCCACACTACGCCAGAGAAATTTGATTCTACGCTAGGCCTACCATCCACACTAATCCGTCACGAAAACGGAGTGTTTCGAAACCCTCAAACCGGAGGAATTTGAAAGAACCGGCATTTCGTTTTCGTGTGGAAAAAACCATTTTGAATACGGAGCTTCTCGAAAACGATGACGTCACGATAGTCATGTTCCCTGACCGAGTTTTCCTCAGACACAATTCCAAAATGACCGGTGGCTGTTGCGTTTTGAAATTTCCCCTCGAAGTGTGGAGTAAAACATTTGATGGGTTGATCAGAGTCAAACCTCCATTTTCAAATTCATCCGGCTTAGTGTGGATTGGGCCTATCGTCTGCAGCATTTAAACTTGGTTACAAGCCTGTGCACATAAAATGACAAGCCAAATGGACTAAACCCAAGCAACAGCTCTATAAGAAATACCTTATGAAAGCAGACACCTTAGATAATTTTGCGGTGACTGATATTCCGCAGTATGAAATATGGCACAGATAATAATCGGCAGTGGTACTGATCCACTTAGAGTATTTTTAAAGAACGAAGCTTTGGGATATGCCTTAAGGATACAAGGATCCATCCCCCTACAAAGTTCTTGAACATATGCTGATTTGATCAGGCACAAGTCAGCTGCAGTGGTTCCGGGTGATATGAAAATTCTTCGTCCCATGGAATGAGCTTGAGTGAATTGAAATTAACAGGCCGGTAGGTGGACGTGAATTTCATCCACTTTCCATTGTTAATGATTTCTTTTGAGATGTGGAAATGCTACCATAGATTCGACTCCACCAAGTTTGAATCCTTACTTATCGTCTATATCATTCGTAGCATGTTGTGGTTAAATCTATACCAGTCCACATATATGTTGTCCGGCATAATGTCGAAAGTAGACAACAAGAAGAATTCTATTTATTTTTATTGCTATACTTATCTATTTACTTTTTTTGTCCTATGGAACCGTTCATTGAAGACTAAGGAGCTCACCAATCAAGAAATAAAGGACGCCCTGAGAGCTAATAACTGCACAAGTGTGGCGTTTGACGAGGTAAAGCAAATTACAAGCGCGGATCAACATGCTTGAAATGCTTAAATACCTATCAGAAGATAAGAACTGCACTTTTATCCAAATGCATTTTAGAAAACACCTTGTAGAAAAGTGAGCTATAAGCCGTACTTCTTTAAGGCCCATAAAAACAGAAACCTAGCTTGAGCTGTTGACATAAAGGCGTCAGCAAAACGAATTTACTTTTTCATAATCAAAATAAACTAGAATTTTCCCTTTTTTTCTACAGAATTTGCTATAAAAGAAATGGAACACATTTTCGCAGTGTTTCTATCATCATAGCAACTAAAACATTCGCGAAAGCAAAGGAAGAGCTCCGGAAGAAGTTTGGAAAAAAAAACCGCCTGCGGGTTGTGTTCCCATAGTATTTCTCGTTCTAATATGTTAGAAATACACGCAATTAAAATGTGTCCTGTCTCTTAAATATTGTGTCTGAAAAAGCGATACGTTATCAGTGCTAGTTTGCTTGAGGTGGTTTGTTACAATATTGCGCATAACGGCCGGTGTCAAAACTCTATTCGTAGGCACCTTTTATCGTAAATTTTACTTTGTTTTGTTGGCATGCATGCTTGTAGATCAAGTCCCATTCTTCTATCTTTTTTTAGGGGACGGGTGTGTTCGTTTATAACCAAGATATGTCAAAGGAATCTATCAGGCACGAGAAAATTCAAAGCAACATGGAGCTAGTGCTGTTATGTATTTCAATATCAGCTGTTATTCTGGCGCTCATACTGCTGACAGCATTGAGGTAAAACAAACATTATATCGAGCCATTTTCTTGGCCAACTGTAATACGTGTGTCAGTTTTCAAGGTGGAGCAGGGAATGACCCAGCACTTAATTAGGAGTCACCAATCGGATAGTAGGCGGGCTTAATGTTAGAAATATTCGGCCTGCACTGCCATATTCGGCCTCCTTCCCGTTCAGCAGCAACGCTAACTCCCATCTTAGCTTTCAAGTTTTCCTCCACCTCACCAGCTCCAGCCAAATATCTTCTGGTTCGATTTGCCATTTGGTGTTTATTTTCGTGTCCCTTCTTTGTCGAAGATACCATCAAATACGAGAAATACTTTAATTTGGTTATTTGAGACAAATAAACGCCAGACAAGTGGCCATATTTAAGCCGGAACAGTGAACGACAATTTTTTGTCCAAGTTAAACAAACAAGTGATACGAGAGCATTCCCCAACCCCATCCGCAGAGTAAAATTGGAACGAGATAAAAAAAAACAAACAAACAAACTAGATGTGGAGGTTCACGAAACACGACTTATAAGTTGCAAGATAGGAAACGGATGCCAAGTTGGAATCTATAGTCACAAAGTTAACATGAGATTGATTCTATTGCACAGGCTAAAAACGTCAGAGAGGCTGTTTATACACAAGAATCTCCTCTTGTCCCTGGGCCTTGGAAATCTCGTATATGTTTTGGACAAAAGCTTGTTTGCTTCAAGACGGGATCATGTGGTATGTAGAAAAGTTCGAAAATCCTGCTTCAAACAAATAGCGTCTTTCACTCGTGATCTACTTTTAAACTGCAGTTTGAAAGAAAAAAGAGAATAGAAACTGAAACTTTCCTGCTGACCAGACAGAAAGAACCGTCACGGCAGATATTAATTCATATAACATATGTATTTAGGCAGGCCTAAAAGTGGAGCTCCTGATTACAATAAGTTAATCTCGCTTGCATTCCAATCGAAAAACCAGTACCTGGTTTAAAAACAGATCTCCATAAGCTTTAAAGCTGAGTCCACAATATGGTCACGTGATTCTGGTCAGCAGATACCTTCTTTTGACGGTGTCAATTGATCGTAAATTGAATGTTCAATATCATAGATGTATGCTGTAAACCAAGGCTGTGTGCCTTGGTCGACCTATAGTTGGAGTATGGCCGCCATGTTGAGCGATGTTGTCGTCGTTTTTCGTCCTCGTTGGGTACACGCGCCCGCGATCCATGCCGCTAGCCATTTTGACCATGGAAACCGAGTTGCATGGTTTTCTATCATGATTTTTACGTATACATGTAGTTCTCTTCCTATAGTTGTGGTGCTCCGCTTGGCA